CCTCCCCTCTCTCTCTCTCTCTCTCCCCCTCTCTCTCTCTATCTCTCTCTCTCTCACACACACGATTGTATGACCTTACTGAAAATGATTCCTTTTCTTTGCTTCCCTGTCGCTTTGTGTGACTGTGATCTATGGCATTTTGTGTGTCTTTCGTAGTCGTTTTTGTTGTTTGTTCTGGGAGAATTTTTTTTTCTAAACACACCACTGTGACAGGCCTTTTTGTTTCTTACTTGTGATCGCAATGGCCCGCCTACTCTTCCTACGATTTGCTCGGGTCACGGTGGAATTCAGTTAAGCTTTATCTGTGTAGAGATTTATTTGCTTCTCTTGGTCTATTTATTTTGTTGAGAACATTTTGTTTGTTTTGTTTTCTTATTTGTCTCTGACTTCCTTTACGCCCTTTTTTCCACTCACCCCATGGATGTGTGTGCCCTCTCTTACCAGCCTGCATGCTTCCGTTTTCCATTTGCTCTTCTAGAACATGACCAGCAGCATCAGCAACAGCAGCAGCAGCAGCAACAACAACAGCAGCAGCTGCTGCAGCAACAACAACAACAACAACCTCCAGCCATCCCTCCCCCGCCATCCCAATCCTCCATCTCTGCTTTCGAAGCTTCTTCCCCGTTAGCAGCCTCTACCCCCTCTTTTCTACAACCTCCCCAGACAAGGAATGCGCGAATGACTCAGGCTAGTCCAAAATCACAACCAATGGGGACAGGCGAAGTGCCCGCTCACTACCGGGGTTATGTAGACAAATCCACTCCCCCTAGCTATAATTACTCACCCGGAGCCAAACGCTCGAGTCAGTCTCCTAAAGCAAGTCCCCAGATTGGTCGGCACGCTAATGATAATAAGCCCCTGTTGTCGCGTCCAATGCCAGCAGACTATAAACCACAAGTCCCGCCCCCTCCGGTAGGGGGCAGAGAGGCTCCGACCCCTCCGTCTCGTTCTAGCTCCGCACATCACCGTTTTTCTTATCGCCCTGAATATCATGACAGCACTGATGGTAGATCTATGGGGTCTCCTTCTGCCACCCGAGGCAGCAGTATGCTGAGTGGACGTTATGCCATTTTACAGTTCAACCCCTCGGGACGTGGGAACAGCACTGCTGCGGACATCTCTCGCGATGTAAAGCAGTTTGTTTCACGTAGTTCAGATAACTTGAATCAGGATAATATTGGGGCTGGGTCAAAGGGACCCGTACCTGCATACGAAAGTGATTACGATGACCAGGGATCTTATAGAAACAGAAACAGCAACAATAACAACACTAAACTTGGACTGCACCCGTCGGCCTACATGCAGACCCCTATCCCTTACAAACCGGCAAGCAGTCATAATGAACCAATAGGCGTGTACTCTGCCTCACTTCCTTTTCAAGCTCCTCCTCCTCCGGGAACGTTAGCCCCTCCCCCTCCTCCTCCTCCGCCATCTTCGCTAAGAGCCGGTGTGGACAGCAGATCTGTTGCTTATGCTAGCGGTGTCGGCGGCGGTAAAAGTGGTGGCGCTGTTGTTGTTGGTAGTGGTGGTGGTGGTGGTGGTACGAGAGGAGGGGACGCCTTGTCTGGGTGCGGTGGCGCCCTCAGTGGTTCGGGTCCCATCCTCGACACGTGGCGTGGTAAAAACCGCACCCCTGCTGTCCAGCAGCTGGGGGTCAAATCCCCGCCCCCTGGCTTCTCTCCTCCTGGAGTTGCATCAAGTCCAACGAAAGGTATCCGCCCATCGGCTCGACGAGACCTCACCCCCTGCCCCATTCTGTGTATACGCCCCTCCCACTTCCTTTTCTCCCCCACTTCTCACCACAGAATTGAGATGAGGACAGAGGGGGCAGCGAATTTCGAGGAAACACTTGTACTTTAGTTTTAATAGGGTGTTTTCTTGGGTTATTTCCCCGCTCTCGGTATTGGATACCTCCATTGTGCCCTCTGTCCTCACCTGGTTCTCATCTCTCGTGGTCCACCACGCCGCTTTCTTAGTCTTTGTTGTGAGCTGAAGACCTGCTGTGACCATAATTTGCTCGTGACACTTTGCTGCTCCAGAGATGGGACGTAGTCGGTATTCTCCTGGCGATCATTAATTCATTTCCCTTATGTGTCCTCCGATGCCAATAGTTTACCTAGTGCCACTCTTTTTTTCAACCCAAATCCTCCGACTCCTTGCTCCAATGTA